CATGGATGGATGAATGGATGTATGTATGTGCTGCAAATGTGTGATAACGTGGGAACAAGGATGCCCAGGTCGCGATGGAAGATGTGAGATGTGTACCGGAGACAAGAGCCCTGCCGCGATTCATTACAACTGTTCCCAATCTGCCGGCTGGGCCCAGCGCTTGCTTGCGACTTCCGGAGGCGGGCCTCGGCGGAACAGATGTCGATGAGCTTCCACTCGCCGTGCCCGGAGGAGATCACCTGGCCAAAGGCGAAAGCCCTATGAAGGAGACTTCTAGGGCCTAGGCCCTAGGGACCGGAAGGGAAGCAACGGTCCAGAAACCGGGTTTTAAGTGCAGCTGCAGACTCGTTTTTGGCACGATGTCCCTGTTGGTACTTGCATACTGGAAGCTTGTATGGTTGGCTTTCATGAAGACGGAAGCTAATTAGCATGTTCCTCTACACCACGGCCGGCTGCAGCTTGGTTCCTCTCTTCATCCCCCCCTTGAGTGCATGAACGTCCGTGGACAATGGAAAGGCAGTGGAGGTCAGACTGCCCAGAGCTAGAGTCCGTCGTCGCCAGCACCTCTGCTTCGTGCTTTAAGGACAACGGAGACAGACAGACGACAGAGAGAGAGAGAGAGAGAGAGAGCGCGAGAAGGAGAGTACACGAGACAAAGACAGGGCAAACAGAGGCACTGGCAAAAGCAAGCTTGACTCTTCCCTGTTTGTCTGTGGATTTGCTCGCATCAAGCTAGTCTCAACACAAACTCTCTTATTCATTTCCGTTTTGTATGATTTGTATCTACATTCGCTTTCCTGTCTTGCCAGGACCCTGAAACAGCGGTGAGACTACAAAGTATCGCTGAAGCTCTTGTCTTGCATGCTGGGACCGTGGCTCACCCCTTGCACAACATAGCAGTGTGCCGAACGTTGCTACAGACATCCACAGACACAAGAACTCGACCTCCGCCCGAATGAAGCCCGAGTGCCTGGTAGCTGGAGCCGAGGGCTTCTTGCAGCAGCTTCTTCGAGTCATCGAAGGCCTCGTCCTCGCATGCTGGTGCAGTACACGCCGTCGCTTGGCCTTGCCACATTTAGCAGGCGTGCCATCTGGTAGGCCGTCGGTATGCGGTATGGATCGTCCTCAAAGATGCAAGGGCAAGTGTGGAGCTATCGCGAGCTCGAATCAACCTGAGGTAGGGCTTCGGCCACCGGAGTGCCCCGCAGCTCGAACTTTTGGAACCGCGAGGTTAATAGCTCCTTTACACGTTGGTCAACCAAGCCGCTCGACCATGCCTTGTGCTGTCCACTGCATCCTCGACAGTGGCACGATTGAAGCCATTGAGCATCTTGCTCCTGTCATCACAACTGTGCCCCGACCCCCACCAGAACTCACAAACGAATCTGCGATCCCAGGACGGCGTTCCTAAACTCAAGCGGGCCCGGCAAGCTTCCACTCAGGCATCAGCTCCAGGCTGTCACGTTCCTAGCGCGGAGATGCACGGAGATCTACATGCACCACTCGTGCCGCTCGCGCCTCCCACCAGCCAAGGATGGGCAGACGGGATGGGACCGTGTACACCTCTGTTCCAACACCGCCTCGAGTTGAAGAGAATGCCACAAAAGAGACGACTGCAGCAGCCATGTGCCACGCATATCAAAAGATCGGGTCGTATCAGTTGGCGCTCTTGCGCCACATCGAGAGCCTCCCCGCAGCTTCAGCTCCATGTAGTTTCGCAGGTCAACTGTGCTCAGCTGTGGCAGAGGCCATGCTCTTGCTCCGACCCGTGGAGTAGGCCAGGGCCTCAAGTGAAGCGCACGGACACACTGGAGACAAGTTCCCCCTCGATATCCGAAACGGCTTTGCGACATCCGAGCTCCCAGCTGAACCGTTCAACGCATATTCGCCCAGCCACAGGTTCCTGAACTCCTTCACAGCTGTGCTCAACTATACCATAGGGACAGGACGAGCCACAGTAGGCTACAGGCTTAGGCGCCTCCAAAAGCTTGTTCTCTGGATCCCGCTCATGACCAACAAGCGTATGGTCCTGGAAGAGGAGAGAGTCGGCAACGGCTGTTGGCTCTTGCCTTTTTTAGGGCAGGCGCCAAGTCCGTCACCACCATCACCTTGCTCTCCCGGATCCTTCGAGCCGCGTGTGTGCAACTGCCAAGGCAACCTTCCCCAGTGTCCTCCTGAGGTGTCCATGCCTCAAGGAGTATTGGCCGGACTCCTTGAGGTCTCAGCTTGAAAAGCAGCAAGGCCAGAAGGACTATCTCATGGATGCAGCAAGATTCAGCAATCAAGTAGTTCTTCTTGCCATACCAGTCGGGGGGATTGTCCCAGCTTTGCTTCTTCAAGTCGCAAATGACGAACTCTATGCCATCGGCCTCGTTGGCAAGGGCCAGGGCTTAGAGAGAGAGGGAGAGGGAGGCAGGGAGGGAGGGAGGGAGGGAGGGAGGGAGGGAGGGGGCTCTTGCCTCAATCTGCAGCTGCTTCACAGAGGGCTTGCCTGGCACGTCCTGGTGGCCGGAAGCTCACTGACTCAGTCAGTCGACTGGCAAACCCCCGCCTTGAATGGAAAATCCCGCCAAGTGGACTCTCCTTTGGGACATCCTGGCATGGCTTCGCGCTTCCTCCAACCGGGCTATCGTACAGTCCACGGCACTCTAAGGTTCCTCCCCAACGACTGGACAGATGAGCCGTGCAGCTGACACTGGTCCCAGCCCGTGTAGTAATACAGCCTGGCGCGAGGCTCATAAAAATCGGGGCCAGACGCTCATTAAGGCCCCACGCCTTCGATCAATTCAGGCAACAGACTCGCAACCCGGCCAACTTTGAAAGCTGGCAACCCGCAGACTTCGCTAAAGTGGTCCAAACCTCATCTCCAAGCAAGCCCAAGTTGCGTTAGCGGCATCGCAAAGTACTTAGATCTACTGCGTGGATTAGCTTGCTTTGTGTGCTTTGTGCCTGGTCTTTGCATTGCATGGGTCTGGTGCGGACTCTGGGTGTTTCGTGATACAAGAGACTTCGATGGCTTCGCCGGTCTTTGGTGGCGTAGCACTAAGTCACCGAGAGCTCGGAGTTCGCGTGCGCCAATCAACGTGCCTGTGATACTACAGTTCAGCCAATGCTGCGGCCGGCCAGGATCGAACTCCGCTTGCAATGCACAATTCAAGGGGTACAGCAAGGTGCCACATAGACACAACGAGCAGAAAGCACCTAGCCCGGCCGCATTCAGGATGCCAGGCGTAACGGCGCCGGGTACCAGGTACGCACCTCCACCGCTACAAACGAAGACGAAGCCTCTAGTCCGCACCAGACGATTCGGAGGAGAGGACATGATAGGACATGGCGACTTGTGGTTTGCGAAGGCCCTGTTGCTGATTTTGGCAGGTCCTGGCCTGGCGCGTCCAGACCGCCTTGGGCGGCAGGCGGCCAAGGCGCTGCAACACCTGCACAACGTGAATCTTCGAGTCGTTCTCAGAGCGAAAGTGGCGCTTGTGGGCCTCCTCCACCTGCACCGCCTGCAGCCTGACAGCTGAGAGCAGATGGTCTCAGGGACCCCTTCAAGAGTTCAGTCTAGTACGTCCAGTGGGCCTGGGGGATCGCAGCCAGACCTCTCATGGATTCAATTCATCCACTGAAACACTCAAAGTGTCTCAAACCCCTGCCTGTGCGGCTGGGTCCCTGGCACGGGTCACCCGCTTGCCCACCCCTCTCCACCGCTCCCAGCTTGGAATCCGTGCCTCACTGTTGGGGCCTCGCTCCCGAAGTTGTGGGAACTTCCTCTAATATCGATGAGAATCAACCAGCAGCCAAAATCAAGGTTCGGGAAAAAACCATGCTCCAAATTTGCCCGGGGTGCTTCTCCAGCTTCTGTGCAATGCGCCTCGCAGGTCTTCTAAGGGATATCGAACCAATAGATGTGGATCACCACTTTGGGACGGATACCAGCTTGCGGAGTCTACAGTGCACACGGTTTAGCCACTTTTCATGCGTGTGCTCAAGACGTCTGCGGAGGATAGTTTCAATGAATACCCGGAATACCCTGTGCATGCATGTTGTCTAAGTGTCCTATACAACGCAGTGCAAACTAGGGTTCAAACATGTGAAGGTCAACACGGCATCGCAAACTCGGGTCTGAAAGACTGGGATGTTTCACAACCGTCTTATCTCCGTGTGACCGAACAGACCGATTATCAGGCGGCTGCCTCGCTTGATGTTGCACCTTGCCCCCCTGAACTGTGTCGGGGTCTGACCGTCGGGACAAAGGTGGCTAAACGATCTACCCTATCGGTAGTCGACGGTCTGCTCTCCGTAGTCGCGGGCGGCTCTGACGCGCGGTCCGTCACAATGAATTCGTTGGAGCTTATGGCCTCGTTTAGAAAGTCAGGCTTTATCTTCTGTGTGAAGCAGTCAGCCAAATGCAAATGCGTAGCAATCCACCCGAGGACGTCCCCATGAGGCGCGAATGTCTCGTGGCTGGGGATATCATCCACCCAAAGCGTTTGGCGTGACCCGGCGAGTTCGATGCTCAGCCGTTTATCCTCCACTTGTTTCGGGATTGGTGAAAGGAGGTGATCTGTGAGGCTCTTACAGTCGCTGTATTGATCGTGCAACATGCTTCGCCTCGCAACCTCTTCCCCCCACGCACTGGGAGCCTTCCTAGGAGTTCCAGTATGCTCGCGCGAAGTCTATCACCATGCTCTGTGGCATGCTGAAGTGAGTACGCCTCGCACTGTAGTGTGGCGCGACAAACGCGCTTCATGGTAGAAGAGCTGAAATGATACCAAATGCATGTCGTGTGCGTCGGCGTTTCCATTGGCTGCATCCTTGTGGGACGTTAAGTAATGGATGCGACCACGCTGGGATCCTGCAAAGGAGGCGTCACAGAACGTGACGACGGCAAGCTTTCCTGTGCTCCATGGTAGACAAGCTTTATATGATTATGTACGATACTTCTTTCTGCGTCATTGAGTGCCAGAGTCACCACGCGATTCACTTCACGAAGTGTCTCCACAGTGGCGGTTGTCACTCGCTGCTGCAAAGCATTGAACCTATAGGCCAAGTCAGGTCGCGTAGCGTGGGCTACCCATGCCAGCCAACCGATGACCGAACGCAATGCCATGCGCTGGGCGCTCGACACGGAGGTTGTGCTCTTCTCCCCCTTGCGAACTTCGATGAGCCTTATGGCCCTCCTATTATCCCGGCAGTTGATCTCTGTGCTGCCGTCTGAGTATACTCTCTACGGCAGAACCTAAACCTAAATTGGTCCTGCTGTACGCGTCCGATTTTACATCGGTCTAGAAGCTTCTGGATCGCAAGCGCGCCCTTGCCGTGCGCCGCCCAGAGGAAATCATCAACGTCAGTACACAAAGCAGCACACAAAGCACCTTCAGGAAGTAAGGGGCCGAAAGGATTTGCGAAGCTTTTAATCCAAACTCGCGACTACTCTCTTTATACGGAGATACAACTGCCTACCGGCATCGGTTGCGCCGTAGACGGCGACCCTGGCTATCATGAAGCCTGCTTCCTGTATCTCCGGGTCAGGAACCCCTTGTGGGGGCTTGGGAACGGGAAGAATGAGCAGTCGTTCAAGTGGCTTCCCTTGGAAACACGCATCGTAATGTCGGCAGCTCTTAGTCGAAGACCGAGTGAGACTGCCCAGCTGCAATGGGGGCTATGGCTAGCTCCTGTTGCTCTGCCGTTGGGGAATCAGCTCGTATGTCCTCTCCATTCATCTCCGCGAAGTTGCCGCACGCCACTAATCGAGCTTTCCGCTTAGGCGTATAGCCCGGCGTCCCTGCTAAGTGTGCGCTTTTATCGGTCAGAACCCACTTCGTGGGCATGCAGACGTCCCCTGCATGCGTAAGTTCGCTCGTCTCCTTGGCGGTGCAGCGGACTACCGCATTGAATTCAGCGTACTTCTGCCACTCCGTCTCCATGGCTTTGTCAAGTCCGAGTCGCCCGGAAGCTGGGGCCTTATGGTAATCTATCAGACTTGCCGTAAACGACGTCTCATTCACCACTGTCCTCAAAACTTGCCTGCCTATCCACGGTCTCCGGGAACCTGTTACACCTAAAGGACTTGTGTGATGTGCTGTCCCTCGACTCGCTCCTAGAGCTCAGCAGCGTTACCCGTCACGTAAGATTGGAACCCGAGCGCGACGACAACAAGGATGTTTTCATGCAAATGCCAGTAGCGTTTTCGGCCTCACGTCCTATGACGTTGCTGACGGTGGACCAGGTTTGTAACCACAGCAGCAGGAACGTTGTCCCGCCGGTAAATGACTATAGATCACCGACATTACATTCGGTGTCTATGGGGACGGCGTTCCGTTGCAGTGCCTTTGCGATCTTTCGCGAGGTATCCAAGTGAACGAAGGCATTCCTCGCCTCTGACATGGCTTTATAGCGCAGGTAGAACGGACTAGTTTCGTCATGTCGAGCCTGGTACGTGCTGGAGCTTTCCGCCTACATGGTTGTTTCCTAACACATGTTGCGCAGGACTGCAGCCCTGGTGCCCCGACAGTTCGTTCTTCGTTGCAACGCTATCTCCTCAATATTCGAGGGCTGTGACTCTTGGACCGTGTTGCGTAGTATATCGCCTTAAGAATACCTCCGTACATTTCAACTTTTCCAATAGTTTGGGGCGATTCTAGACGCGCATTGCGATGACATATGCCGTGCTGAGCAAGATGATGTGCGAAGTCACCCTTAAAGTGCGTACCTCGGTCCGTCCCTACATTCAATGGATAGCCTGCCCATGAATCCAGCGCTCGGTGAACGCCTTCACGCACTGACGCGCGCTAGGATTACCCCCTCCGCACTTAACAATGGCTACCTGCTGACAGCTTGTTCCCACGTCAACGATGTTGACGGCCGTATAGCGAGCTCCCAAGGGGTCTTTAATCTCCTAACGGTCGATGCCAACCGTGTGGTTCAGTATGGTTAGGCGGATCTACGGCTTCCCTTGAACGTGTACTCTAGTAGAGACTGAAGCTGCTTCGCCCTCCGCACCTGTGCCGAAGACTTTCCCCCTACCCCCGACCTCCGGCAAAAAGCGGACAGCCATGTACGCTGCGCTAGTCGGGGCGACGTCCAATTATGGGGATAGCTCTCTTCGCTATCGGTGAGATCCTTCGGAACGGTGTCCGAGGCAAAGGCGGCCACAAAGACTTCCTCACCCTCAACAGTCGGTGTTGTCGGGCATTCCTTGTCTGGCGCTGTCCTTAGCGACTGATGGAGGCCCCTTCCTTTTTTGGGGCCTCTTAGTTTTGGGACCTTTCCCAAAGGCTCAGAAAACGGTCCTTTTTTGGGCCCCGCATTTGGCCGGACGATCTGAACGGAAGGCTATCCCTTCCGGCAATGAAACCAGTGCCCTTAGGCGTCGGGGCAATTGTCTGATGGGCCCCAGCCATGGTGGGCTGGTTTGCTGCACGGCTACTCGCGGAGCCAGAGCCTGAGCCAGGGGCAGTGATCTGAAACACAGCCTTCTCAAGCGCATGTGCGCTTGGGTAGGCGACTCTAATGTCGGGGTCCAACTCACGGAGAGTGGACCACCAGCTCTTTCGGCGGGCGATGTACGAAAGCATGGGTTCGCCCTGCTGTTTAACGGGTGGCCCAGTGATCAACTGGCCTTGTCTAAACAACTCAGAAGCCTCCTCCGATGACAAAGAAAAGCTTGTTGGCGAATCTGCTGTATCAGATCGCTGCAACCCGACATCCCGAGCGATGCTGAAGGCATCCTCACTGAGACCTTCGAGAATCTTCGAGAAGCGTTCTGACAGATCTATGTCAGCATCCGACACGTCAGCTAGGGTCGGCACCACGGGCTCTGCACATGCCCGGCGATGAGTCGTCGCCGCCATCTGTCTGGCCACAGTGACTCGGCAGAGATCCTACGTCCTCGTCTCCTTCAACAGGCGCAGGCCTCGCTCGCATGGTGCTAGATGGATTAGCGGGCATGCCACTCGACTCATCCTCGGTGGGGTGGCCAGATTCGTTGGCATTCTGCTCGGTCCTAAGCCGAAAGCCTTGAAACGTCTTACCAGTCCATTTCCTCGGCGACTGGCTCCTGGCTAAACCTGCTCCACGCATATCCTTCAGGACCTCTCGCCTTTGCTTTTCCTTATGCTGCAACACTCGTATCCGTGTTCTGAACTCCTGATAGGCTGAGGCGGTGCCGGAGTAGATATACGACCCGGACATAGTCTTTGTAAGGGGCCGCATTGTGACCCCACTGGGTCGCGTGATGCACTAGGGGCTCTACTCTGCAGCAAGTTACTCTGAGACTCGGGTGAGACAGCACTGAGATCCGCTGGCTCCGCTACCAGTTTGGGACAGATACCAGCTTGCGGAGTCTACAGTGCAAAGGGACTAGCCACTTTTTGATGCCTGTGCTCAGAATCTGCGGAGGATAGGTTCAATGAAGACCCTGTACATGCATGTGCTCTAAGTGTCCTATACAACGCACTGCAAACTAGGGTTCAAACATGTGAAGGTCAACACGGCATCGTAAATTCGGGTCTGACAGACTGGGATGTTTCACAACCCCGCTTGCACGGCACAGCACGGCCCTACAGTTGCCAAGATCGAGTACCACGTCTTCCACGGGGCTGTTCTTGATTTCTGGAAGAGGATCTGACCAAGATTGTTGATCTACGGGAAAAGCGTTCGTTTTCAGCAGTCCCAAAAGATAGACACACAAAGGCTGATGGCATGTCTCCATACTGGTTCTGGGTAGATTTTGTAGGGTTATCCTAAGACTTCAAGGGTAATTTAAGAACAACTGCATGACCTTTGAACTGTGGCAGCAAATATAGCTATTGTAGTTTGCGTCCCCTTGCTTTGTGAAGTCCTCACAAGCCGTCGTCGGTTGGGGTCTGGGTTTGAGCTCTTAAAGTACTTGTTGTTGGCATCCATTACTGTACTGAGCTAGCCAAACAACCAACACTGATGCACGCAAAGAAGGTTTAGGGCCTGGCTCAGGGCAGAAAACCTGGACCCCCTGCCTCCCCTGGCCACTGGAGCGGAGCGACGGCAGCAAAGGCCGAACGGCAGCTGTCAGGGCCAGAGAGACCGCAGAGTCCGAATATTAACAATGCTCAGTTGTGCGAAGCGATCACAGCTGAGGCAGATTTCGGCTTATGGACATAGCGACAGGGAGCACCACGGCTACGGCTACGGGAGTTGGCTTCGTGCGCCTAGAACAGCTGATATCTGAGGCTCCACGGCGATGTTCAAAGCGCTTTGAACCTCCGGGACGGAGCAGAGTGCGACGCTTCAAGACGAGGCCGCGAGGCCGCGAGGCCGAGACAACGTAGTTCCCGTAGATGTCTCGAAGAAGGTCGCCTGGAAAGGGAATGGCAACGACACGAAGCGCTGCAGTCTGCCGGGAACAGCGGCGATCTCCGATGCCGCGCTCGCGCTCGCTTCATCGCGCTTTTAATTTTCGGTGCGTCCGCGCCTAGGCCTCGAGGATCCGCCAGCTCGGTGATCATCCGCGCCCTGTCCTCTGCGCAGGCGCCGCGGGGACGGGGACGGGGAGGTTCCCAGTCTGCGCTTCTTTTCGCTGCTCTTGGCTCCTCGGGACTGGCGAGCTGGAGGCACCGTTCCACCACGTTGGAGCTGAACTTCTGCCGCGAGAGCACCTGGCAGCTCCCCCTCATGCCCCCCGATGCCCCCCGATGCCCCCCTCATGCCGAAGCCGAGGTTTCGACATTCAGCCGCCCCGTCATGGCAGTCACGATCAAGGAGCTGGCCTTTAGCAGTCGAGCAGGGACCGGCCTGGACCGGCCTGCGGCCTCTGCAGAGCCCTCGCCTGTGGATCTTGGAGGCCTAGCACGTACTGTACCACGTAGTTGCCGAAGGGATCCTGTGGTTCATGAGAACACAGGAAAGATGATGCGGGATGACATTGCGTTCTGCCTGGATCAATGTCAAAGAAGCTCTGCATATGGCGCCTGCGAGGCGCAAGCTGTGGGTGTCCATGCACATAAATTAACCCTCGGTGAAGATGTCATGCCTATCAACATTGTTCGATCGCTGCCCTTCGCAGCATCGATGCATCTTTGAACAATCCTCAGGGAGGCGCAAGCCCACGCCATGCCGCTCAGATCTCGAATCCATGGTAGCGGTCCTGCAGCCGTGCCGGTGCGAAGCCACGTCTTCGATGTCTTTCGCCACTGCCCTGGCACCAAAAGAGCGACTTCCGGAACAGAAGCCGACGGCAAACCCATGTGCTGGCAACATTAACTCCAACGCCCACTCTTCCACACTGTGCCTGAAGATGAAGCCGTGGGCATCGCTCGGGAGGGACTCGGCCCAGGCACTTTCCATGCGCAGTCACTCAGAGACTCATCTGAGCACCTCGAGGCATCTTTGTACCACGTGATTCCCATTCGGGTCCTGTCCACGACATGAAACACCAGAAAACAGAGGCGCTTTGTTGCAACTTCCGGCGGATTCCGGCGGGTCTGCGGACGGCGGTCGCCTTCGTGAGCGTGACGACGGCGAACTCCAGGGCCCCCTGAGCCGCGGGGCGCACGCGTGAGGGCACCGCGAGGCTGCGCTGACGTGCGCTGACGGCTGGCTCTCGTGTTAGTGCGAGGCACCACGAGCCGCGTCATGCAGACAGGCACCATTCGGACCACGTCGATCAGCTTCTGGCAGGGACATGGACTGGACCCAATCATGCTCTGGAAGGTAGGGCGTCCTGCACGGCTCTAGCTCCGTGCATGTTCAAAGAGATGTTCACAAGGCTGCCATAGGTCTTGTCTACCAAAACCTCACAGGAAGGACGGGGAGCGCCAGGCTCCGAGCTTCGTGAGGCTCCGTGATCGGCCTCGAGCTGTCGCGCGCTGGACATCTCCATGAGCTTCTGGCAGAGGTAGTTCCTCAGCTCTCAGAAGCCCAAGACAGCTTCAAGGGCACACCAGGCACACCAAGTGTCCCGAAGGGATCCATCATGAGCTCAACTGCATGTGTCACAACCTTCCGCAAGCAGGAGAACTGTTTATGCTCTCCGATGTTGCAGGCTCCTGGCCTCACTGAAGACTGCCGCGAACACGTCAGGACCGCCCTGGCGCTCGAAGTGTTCGGCCCAGTGCCAAGAAGACCCTCAGCCCTCCTCACCTCATCGAGCTTGTGCTGCAGCATCCTGCAACCCGCCTGGTGGTCTCGACATCGTGTATCGCGCCAATCAACACACACAAGAAAAACAAAATTTGCGTGCGGGACAGTGCGGAGACCTGGTCCTTGGCGATGCAGTAAACGTTGTTGATGTAGGCGCTGCTTTTGAACATCTCCTCATGAAGGCTCTTCAGCTGCAGCCTTGGCATGGAGCATGAAAAGGCGTCCTCCAGCTGCGAGAGCTTGAAGGCACTCCTGCAGGCGCTTGGTTCGAGAATCTCCCAACATTGTGCAGCTCACGCGCGGCCGTGCGCGGCCTCGGCTTCCTCTCCACTTCCCTGGCAAAACACGTGAGCAAGTGAGGGAAGCGAAGGCCATCGAAGGCCACTTCGTGCCGGGAGTGCTCCGCTTTTGCGGCACCGGCACCTCGAAACAAGAAGTCCTACGGAGTCCTACGAGTAACGTGCGCACCCTCAAGCCATTCGAGGATATTCGAGGGTTTGGGTTCTTCTCGCCGAGCCTCGGGTCCCTTCCGGCACGGAGTGCACTGTCACAGCAGCCTCGGGTCACGGGCACTGCACTCTGCACTTTGGCCTTGTGGAGGCCAAGGCAATGGCCCGAGCAAGTGCCTTCGGCCTGGGAGGCACAGGAACAGACAAAGCTTCTGGGACTGTAGTTCTTTTGACTTCAGAGATCGAGTCTTTGGAGACCTTAGAGGCCATGAAAGCTGAGCGTACTGCTCAGGCGCTGCCGTACAAGGGGTCGGAGCGGACCTGAGAAATCAACATGTCTTGAGCTTCCTTGAGCTTCCTTGCATACCGAAGGGGAGAGCAAGCTCCCTGCGGTGGCAGTCTGCCGATAGCTCCTGTGGCATCTCACCAAATCACCAAGTGAAAGATCTGAAGCTTGCAATCAAAGGTTTTGAAGCGCCTCTATCAGGACTTCTGGCTAAGGACACCTCTGAGGCCACTGGAGCCACAAGCGACCAGCGGCGACGACGGCAAATGTTGCAAACGTTTGGGCGCGGCACGTCTTCGCGAGCCGCGGCCCTGGCCACGCCGGCCTCTGGGCACAGTTGAACCCACAGTCAGGCCACTCTCAACTCCTCCGAACTCTCCCCGAGCCCAGGAGCCGGAAGGCCAGCGGGGAGCAGCGACATGGGCACCTGCTCTTCCCAGCTCGCCTGACGCCTGCAGCGTCCCACCATGACCCGCCTGCCCCCATGGGAAGGAAGCCGGAGGGACCCCCTCAGTTTGCGCACAAGCACAAGTCTTCATGCACTCGTGGCATTCCTTGAGGCGGGTGCTGTGGGGTAGCCTGCAGTCCCAAGCAATGGTTGATGCCTGAGGGAAAAACCGTCAGAGCACCTCAAATGCTCCTGAGTAGCACGTTGCCCGCCTAAGAGTTGCTTCCAAGTACCTCGGTCGCGGTGTATTCCGTAAAGATACAAACCAAAAGCTGTTGAAGCGACGCCCGAAAGCGTCACAAGGCCACGACCCATGAACACCAGACGTGCTCGTCAACGGTAGCCCTGTAGGCTGATGCATGTGGCTCACGACATCTCGCGGCTCCCTGAGCAGCGCGGGTCCTTGCAGCGATCCCGGCAGCGGAGGCACCTCGCACTCCAAGCTCGAGGCCCAGGCTCAGGTGACGTGCACAGCCACTGCGTGTCTTTGGGACTAGGAAGAATCTCCCAGGCTGGCACGCCCAGACCTGTCTGCCCAGCTGGCTCCTGCGGACATGGGGGATGGCTTGGCTCCAATTCGCAGAGCATGCAAACGCCGTTCTCACAGCTCCTGCGACGCAGCGTGCGAACTGGCAAAGGCATTCAGATCAAGGTGAACGCATCTCAAGTCCGCATGAAAGTGTGCAAGATGCAAATCGGCGCTACCACATACAACCGTCGGAGGGTGCACAAGTCTATGGACAGGCCACATCATGTCGCGGGGAGAACACCATTGGAAAAAGTGGAACCCCACCTCTTTCCCGAGTCTTTTTGAGGTACATGTTGCCACTCGTGCCAGGGGTAGGTCGTACAGGGACGAACATGGACAAGCACAATATCTGAAAATCGGTGTCGGCTGCTTTTTGGTCTCAGCCTTTGGGGCTTCCAGTGCCTTAGGGCTCCTCGTGGGGCTTAGGTCGAATTACTGCAAACAGGTTGTGCCCAGCCCACGCCTGGCTTGCGCGGAGTGGAGCGAACTGGTCAGGAGTCAAGACTGCGCTAGGACAAAGGCTCTGCAGGAACTGTGCTGATTGTCGCGAGTCAGCAGCTTGGCATTTTTTCCGAACGCTCAAGCTGACACCACGGCCACAGACCTGCAAGGGCAAACCTTCAGCACGTGCTGGCGCGTGCCACGTGAGGTGTCTGGGCACACGAAAGCAGTTGTACTCCGCTACCAAGCCCAGCCACCGGAAAGTTCCTTTCACTTCCATGCTGGCGATGTGCGCTGCGGGCGATCACGACGGCAAACTGACTGCAACATCCTCCAACAAAAGAGTGACGGTCGCTTGTGCCAGCACGACAAGGGCTTCGTTCTTCAAAAATTTGCAGCGCTTCAAACGTTCGCCTCATTGTGCGGGCAGAGCTTCCGCCGTCGCATTCTTGCGAACTTACAGTCCGAGAAGAAGGAAAGATGTGTGACTCGCCAATCCTCAGTCAGGTCACTTTGGTCGCTTGGCGCCAGGTATCCCAGCATTCACATGTCCGCACACATGCACGACACTGCACGACAGTACGACAGCCTCGCACACAATAACGGCACAAGTCTCAAAGTGGGGGAGCTGGCTGAAGGAGAAATGTCAAGATCCATTGCTGTTGTCGAATGATTGCCTTCGGCAGCATATTCACATGAACAGGATTGTGTGAACAGGACTTGAACACTGCCAGGCAGAATATGACTAGTTACCGTCGCAGCCCACCCGAATGAATCCAGCAGCCTTCCATCTCAGCACCACTGCAGTAGCGCGGACTCTGCCTTGGACTAGCGCGAGGTTTACAGTATGCAGTGCAGTACATAGCCACCAGGCTGGACGAAAAGTGCGCTCCTGTGCAATAATGGCGACTGAGCTGCAGTGCTGCCATCTCCGCCGACCAAACTAATTCAATCCAGCTCGGCTGCAGTGTCCATGGCCTGCGCCTACGGGCCATGCAGCTGGCCTGCATTCCCTGTACAGCTAAGGCAGCAAAGAATTCATCGAAGTCGAGGATCACGTATCGAACGTACACAACCGATGAAACGCAAGCTCACAGTGTTTTGTTGCTATGAGCAACACAAATATCTTTCATGTGAACCTCAAAAAAAGCAAAACTGAAGAACAGCTCAAGGCAACCCTCATGTTTCCTGGGGTTGCATTGGGCTGACCTGCTCATTGTAGGATCGACACTCGGGAAAAGAAAGTCCCATGCAAAGTGGAAGGGTTCAAGAACAAGACAACCACGACTAAGCACATATTGAATTATCGCGATTGAAAATGTGCGACCCTCCCTGAATGTCAGGACAAGAAGATCCCAGATGCGTGAGAAACAGCCTGGTAAGCTGACTGCATCCAGCTCTCGCGAAAACCGGGAAAAATCCACATTTGTGGCTTCCCAGATCCGCGTGTTCCAAAGAAACAAGGTGAATGACCATGCACTCATCGCTGGCGCAGTCGAAGAGTCTTTGTGACAAACTCCAAGGCTGCGCGAGTTGCAGTGAGCTGTGCAAATTGAATTCTGTTGCGGGAAGCACAGGCTGTGCTGAGTTCTCTGCAGACAGGAACTGCCAGTGTGCATATATGTAGACAGTCAGCAATATTCAGCAATAGGTTCATCCCCAAAAAACCATACCAAGCGACATGTCGAGCAAAGCACACCATTGTGAATATTGCACGCAGTATTTGTAGTCATACGGTAGATTTCTGCTAGCTTACAAAACTTGCGACCCATTGGATGCAAACGTTGCAAGCATCGCCATGTCACACACAACTTGTGATGCATGCATTACGACGTCCATGCATGGAACGAACCAGAAAACACTGGGAACATATGGGCCAACAAGTCACTTCAGATGTGCGCACTACGCACATGTACAACTGCCTATGTACTTCTGCCCCTGAGTAGTCCGAGGATGCCTGAATTCAGTATGTACGCACATGCATGCTTGCATCTGCTTGTTTGTGCCGTGTGTATGGTTGTGACTATGTCTGTTTCTCTCGGTCTTTCGGACTGCACGCGCACTGAATTGGCACATGCCTGCTTTAACTCACAGAACACATGTACGAAGTTGTGCACATACATACGTACATACATACAGACATACAGACATACAGACATACATACATACATACATACATACATGTATGTGTATATATATATATACATACCTACATACTTACCTACCTACCTACCTACCTACCTACCTACATACATACATACATGTTATTATTACTGTTCCGATCAGTCACCATCTACTACCCCTTGTGCCTGCCGTTGTGCACTCTTGCATTTCTTGCGCACACACACACCAGTTTGCTGCAGAAACCTACAAAAGCAATAGCAGTAGAAGTCGCAGTACCGGCAAGTGGTAGTAGTAGTCGTCGTCGTCGTAGTGGTAGTGGTAGTAGCAGTAGCAGCAGCAGTAGCAGTAGCAGCAGTAGTAGTAGTAGTAGTAGTTGTTGTTGTTGTAATAATGATATTCGTAGTACTAGTGGTAGTAGTAGTCGCCGTCGTCGTCCTAGTCCAAGTCCTAGTCCTAGTATTAGTGCTACTACTGGTACTAGGACTATTACTCGTACTACAAGAACTAGAACTAGTAGCAGCAGTAGTGGTGGTAGTAGTAGCAGTAGCAGTAGCAGTAGCAGCAGCAGTGGCAGTAGCAGTAGCAGGAGCAGCAGCAGCAGCAGCAGGAGCAGTAGCAGGAGCAGCAGCAGTAGCAGCAGTAGTGTAGCAGTAGCAGTAGCAGT